ACAAGTAGAACCGACAGAGACAGACTGCACAGACTAGGACTTAAATATTGGGGATGATTGGGGAAACACAGGTGTATGGGATGACTAATCAAACTAATTAACAAAACGAGGACAGGAACATGACCAAATAAGGGAACAGAAACAGGGGCAAAACATGACATAGACAGTCCATGATCCTGACAAGTGTGTAATGATACTACAAACTTTTAGTAGATCAAATAAAACATTTAGGTTTATTGCTTGATTCTGAACATAAATCCAAACCTCATATTGATTATATTTTCCTTCAAATTTAATTTGGAACCAGTGTGTTATACCAATTTAAAAACTTTATAATTGTTTAATGCCTCTACCAACCTTCTGCCTCTTACTGCACGGTTTGGAATCTTTGCAGATTTGTTATTGGATGTTTATTTGAACTCATCATTGTGTTATGTATAACGTGGCAAGGAAATGAACACAAAGAGAATGTTGCCATATGGCTACACCATGCGGTAGAGGGTTAAATACTTATCCACCACAATATTAACCCTTTGATGCACAAGCTATGAAAACCCCTTCTAATACACAACATGTGTCTAAAATGACCCCTATTCATTTCCTATGTTATTTCATACTTTGTTGGGCATTTGTTTTATCATTTTAAAATCAGTTTATTTCAGCATTTAATATACTCTGATCTATAAATTCCACGACCCATGAATATTCAAAATATCTTTTTACAATGACCATAAATTAATATTTAATTTTTTGCCTAGGTTTTGTTACTACGTCAAGTTTACACACATGGGTCAAAATGACCCATCTATGCAAGCATGAAAAAACATTTTGTTAAAATAATTATTTTAGCAGTTATTTCGACCAACACATTTAACACTTTAAATATGTTTATTTGCCACTTTGTCACACATAACATACACATATCACTGATAACCGATAACACTGAAATTGAACTGTTTGTAGTGCATCCAGGGGCGGTGTTTCCGTATGGCAGTTGCCATACCCTAGCCCAGTCAGGTGTGCCGTGAAAAATTATCCAAATTTCACATCTCTATTATAATTCGTTATTATCAAATAATAAAAATCAGAGGGTTTTACAAATATTTAACCAATGTTATTACAAAGGGCTTGTCAGTAAAACTTCATAACGCTGTTGAATCCTCAAGTTCTCAGCGAAACCTCGTAACTTCACCCCGCCTCCATTCAGATTGACGCACCGCGCACAGCCTGGAGACAGATCTCCGCTTTTTCACAATGCAAGGGTAAATAAATAACTGATGTTTGAATAGTAAAGTGTTTTCTTCAAACACTATGTCTGTAAAAGGCTAATGTTTTTGTGTGTTTGAAGACTGGAAAAGTAGGTTATTTGCCATCTAGCCAGCCTATACTTTTGTAGGCCTACATTTTAAATATCCTGTGCATAAGCGCTTAATCATTTATATCATGAGATTTTGGCCAAGTGTAGGCCTTAAACAACAAGAAAAACTAAGCGCCCATATAGCAACAATAATTTAACGTTATATAACCTGTAAAAGTTGATGAAAGCGTATAATGCGATGCACTTGCCTCAGATGCGGCCGTTCTATTGACAGACAAAACACAGATCTCCTCATTTGCCGTCCAAAATCCTTGTTAACGCCATTTGAGCTTGTTTTTCATATAGCCTGTTAAGTGCAAGTGTCTGATACAATACCACCACTGACGATTGTAGTGAATGTGACCGAATAGATGAAAATAAAACTAACAAAATAAAATCACATGGGTACAGCACCATTTCAAATTGACATCTCAGTGCTTACATGCCTCACAAATGACAAATACAGGTTTGTGCTCCTTGCACACAGGCCTGACACTGGGAACACCAGTTGCTGACTTGTCTGTCTTTGGCAGCTGGGCAGATCCTGCACCTCTTCCTCTTCGATTGATCCTCCTGCCTGATGAATACCTGTGGCCGGGTGGTGGCTGTGTTTTGTTTTTCATCCCACATCTTCCCATTGCCTCTGTAATATGGTTTTGAAGGTTGGGCCTGCCCTCCAAGCACCTCTCCATTTGTGGCACGACAAGCTCTTTGACTAGCTGCTTTGTGCATTGGTCACACCACCCATGTAATCAGGGTGCTGTGCAGTGAAGTTGGTGTTGGCCAGGGGTGGAGAGCCACAGTCTTGCACAGTTTTGCTTCAACCTTGATAAAAACTCACCTGCCTGTAGCTTTCTAGTAACCCTTAGACCTTGTTTAGCTTGTTCAAGTGTGTTTAATTAGGGTTGGAGCTCAACTCCGCAGGACTGTGACTCTCCACAACCAACATTGGCTGCCCCTGGTGTAGGCAATGAGGGTGGCAACATCCAGCACATTGCATCATAGCACCATGGGCCACCTAGGTATTCTCTGCTTACATGAGTAGGTGCAAACCATTTTACTCAATCTATTGGACTGGGTCTGAGTTTGCTCTTCAGAGGACTCATCAGACAAGTCTTCAATGTCATCACAGAGTTTTCTTAATCTAGGAGATCTGGATTTACACCCACAACTTCAGATTGACCCTGTGGCACATAGTCTAGGTCATCAGCATCAGATATTTTAGACTCTGAATCAGGACTAAGAATTGCCTGATCTTCGTCATCATGCAGCAAGCATCTCTACAAACATTTCAGCCGTTAATCTAGAATGTCTCAGATCAGACATACTAACTCTCTAGATCAGTGATGGCCAAACTTGGCCCTTCCATGCCACTTTCCTGCAGAGATTTTATCCAACCCTGATAAAACTCACCTGCCTGTAGCCTTCTAGTAGTCTTGAAGACAATGATTAGCTGGTTCAGGTGTGGTTGATTAGGGTTGGAGCTAAACTCTGAAGGAAAGTGGCCTGGAAGGGCCAAGTTTGCCCACCCCTGCTCTAGATAAAGAGTGCACAACAAAGCAGTTGATCATGTATATACTGATTATATATTGTCGCTGTCAGACAGAAACCTTGTATGCCGAAAATCATTACTTTTCAGGAACACTGACAGACATAAATGGTGACCAGTAGTATTGATTTATGACAAAAAATAAAAATGATACGAAGTTTCTGTCTGACAGCAATGATATATACGTGTATATAATAACATATTATTTTGACTTTTATTTTGTTTACCTAGCTAACATTAGCTCAAGGTAAGCTTAGCCTAACATTCAAATACTATGTCCAGTTATCTTCCACAGTATATCAAATATTTTCGGTGATAATAAATTATAAAAATAAGACTAAATGCATCAATTATACAAAAGCAGCCATGTTGAGTTGTGAAATGTGGGGCAGGTGAAAGGTTTTCTGCAGTAAATATGTTCCTAATGGCAAAATATTTGCAAATATCAAAGGTTTCAATATGGGTCATTTTTGACCCATGTGTGTAAAATTGATGTAGAAATACAAAAACTGTGGGGTTTTTTTATAAAGTGAAGAAAGGAAAAATAAGTATAATGATTTGTGGAAATCAAAAACAAGATATTTAATGAATATCTGGAATAATAAATTATAAAATGCATTTCTTTCAAAGATTCAGCAAAGAATCACTCAGGCATGATTGAAATAGCATAGGAAATGAATACGTGTCATTTTAGACCTATGTGCGTAAAACTGATGTAGAAATACAAAAACTGTGTTTGTTTATAAAGCAAGGAAGGGAAAATAAACTAAATGATTTGTGGAAGTCAAAAACAACATATTTAAAGTCTATCTGGAATAATAAATGATAGAAAAACATTTCTTTCAGAGATTCAGCAAAGAAAAAACTCATCTATAACTGAAATAACGTAGGAAATTAATACGGGTCATTTTAGATCTATGTTGTGCATTAGAAGGGTAGTGACACAAAAACGATTTCTATTCAAATGTAAGAAAGATAAAAAATAAAAATAAGAATTGGTGATGATCAAAAACAAATTATTTGAGTAATTCCTGGAATTCTGAATGATGAAATTAATTTCTTGCAAAGATATAGAAAAAAATAAACTCAGTCGGGTCACTTTAGACCCATGAAAGGGTTAAAAGGTATTTTCATTGGTTGCATTTTCAAATGTGTTAAATATCCCTATTATCTTCAACAGTATCTGGTACCATATTATTCAACATATCAATTAAAACATTCTACACATTTTTTTTTCTATTTAATTAGAAAAACAACTGGGAAGAAAACAGGTACACAAACTGGATTAAAGTATTTCATTTGAGTGGAGCAACAGCAATTTCCTTCCAGTCTTTAACAATCTTTCCAGATTTTCCAACTCCACTCCAGGGTTTCCCATTTTCTCGCTTCCTCTGTAAATTATGTAGTAAACTGCATTTGCTTTTTAAATAGGAGAAATTTGAGTAGTGTTCCAAGAAAATTATGTACGTAACTTGAAAATTTGAAATCAAGAAAAAATGAACAATTACATAGTGCCCAGATGGCTGTGTTAATTGTTTTGAGACTATTAGTTTGGAAAACTCATTTGAGAAAAAATGAGATTGGGACATTTTAGCTGTTAGCGATATCAGGCATCTGCCTGAAGCAAGCAGATGTTATGTGCTTGGTGGGATGGGAACTTTTTAGAATGTGTGATGTTGCATTTGATGTACAGAAACTGAGTTGAGGGCACAGTGTTTCAGACATAAAAGTTTTTACAATTGGTTACATGCATTTCTCAATATACATGATGAATACTCTTCAGATAGTCTGTAAAACATTTTTGGATTGGGTTTTTGCTATGTTTAATTAGGCATGGAGCCAAACTCTGCAGGACAGTGGCCCTCCAGGACCAGAGTTTCTCATCCTTGATTATGTTATGCAAACTTGGCTGTCAGAGGAAAAGCAATGCATATGTTTTGTAAAACAAATGAGATGAAGACTAAGAGCTGTAGTCTGAGATGAGATATAATCAAGGCTTCAACTATGGTGTCAATTGTGAGATGTTTTCATCAAACCAACAGTAGATATAATCAGTCTACAAACGCATTGAATTGAACTACATTTTGTATTCACATGGGCAAAGACTCCAAAAAGGAGGAAAGGAAATTTTCACCACCAATATATCCAGGTAAGATATTTGGGGTTTGGAACAAAACAGGACAAAGCACAAGCACTAAACAAACTGTTTTGTTGTCCATAGTGTTGTTATAAAGATTCATAGAGATTGAAGCCTACACTCCACACTATGATTTGTGTGTGTGAGGCTCCTTTCACCTTGGCTAAAACAAGATGAGAGGAAGGATTGTGTTTGGGAGCAAACCTGAATGTAAAAATAGGAAAAAGGGCATTCACATCCAACCAGTTGATCTCATAATACAATATAAGTGCATCTGTATTATTTAATTAAAAATGAATAAAGACATGTCTTAATCCACTTGTCTTCCCCTGACCTTTAGGCCTTCATCAGGCAAAACCCCAGTGCCAAATAAAGCTTTATAAAGCAGATAATGGCATCATCAGTGTGCTCAGTTTTTTTTTTTTTTATCTTATTGGATATACAGTCTAAACATTATCCATGTATCCCAGTGTGAACACTGTCCATCCTAAATAGTATGTAGGATTAGAATAAGTATGTCCCAAAGCAGTTGCAAAGTTCCTTGATGGCCTATTATTTTGGGTAGATTTTGGAGGTGTGGATCTGTACACACTCTATTGCCCGCATTGCTCTTTGGAAGAATTTGAACTACAATCATGATTAAAACGAACTACAAACATGGCAGATGTTTGTGAGACCTTAGGTGGAGATGCTTTGAAAGTGGGTTCTTTTGAGCATTTACAATCCCTTCTAGGTTTTGTTGTACATGTTTATTTGTAAATTATTATGTGCATTATGACCTGTAAATAATACATGTAAAATATGTGTATTATATTTGCTTCTTATGTAAAAAATAAATAAATAAATCACATGACATGATAGAATGGCCAGGCCATGGTCTAGGGTGTTTTCCTGTTTTCAGTCCAAGATGCTGTGTTAGGGTCTAGCATTTCCATGACTCTGTATGACAGGCGGTTCGGAGAATGAATTAATTACATACTTCTATCCACCTACTTCGCAATGCAGAAGTAATGTGTGAGACTTCCAATTCATTAGTCGCTGTAGGTAAATAACTAGAAATATAACAATGTACAGTAAAACAATTTGACTTACTAGCTTGAGTTACAAAAAACAGTTTGCAATATAAAGCCGCAAAACTGACTGTTTTTGTACAGGTAAAATTACTGTAATCAAATGACACTGGAAGCCTCATGCATTCAAGTTACAAATGGCCACGCTGCTTGTGTTACAATTAAGGTGGATATAACAGGTAATATATTCTGATATTATATTGTATTCTGTATGTTTCTATTACAGTTTTTCTCGATTGCTTAAACACATTTCTTGAAACTATGCCTCGTATTCTCAAAACAGTAAACCACAAATCCATAACGTCTCACCCAATTCCCCAAACATCCTATTTTCAGGTCAAAATGAAGCTCTACACTCAAAACCATTCACTCTTGCTGAAAAACCAAACTTTCCCTCAGACATCACACACAAGCTTTCAAAAACACACACACTACAACATAGTATTACACACTGGGGCAATAAATTCAAAACAATATATCCAAAACTGGTAAGTTATGTTGCTTGTGGTTCTCCCCCTCAAAAACCTTTTCACATGAACACAAAAGACACAACCAATGTATACATTGGCACATTTTTATTAATTAATGTACTACACAGCACAACTGTAAAAAAATAAAAAAATAATAATAATTATTCCGCCTCAGCATCCCGTCTTTGTTCTGGGTCAGGCCAGAGAATCTCGTCCACATCACAGGCTATAGTGGCCCTAGCCAGGCAGCGAGGGTAAAATCCTCTTGCATGCCTGATCCACCCCTGGCATGCATCTACTGATATGTCTAGGCAGGCTTCTTCCATGGCCTGGAGGAGGTGAGCACGAATATAAGGTTCTCGGTCATACACTTTCCACCGCCATGCCGAAAAAAACTCCTCTATCGGGTTTAGAAAGGGAGAGTATGCAGGCAGAAAGATGTTAGAAAACCTCGGGTTATTGGTAAACCAGTCACGAACCAAGAGCAGCGCGATGGAAGCTGACATTATCCCAAACAACAATGTAA